GTGCTTGGAAGAACTGTCATTTGTCACATAATGACCTAGTCTTCGGGATCTAACTACAACAGTGAGTGAGGACGTGGTGTGTAGCAGTGTCCCTCGTTGTTCTTATGCTTTCTAAGAGTGTCTCCAGTCCAGGGTTAACTGCATAAAACCAAAGCATATGAACCCTATTGTGGTTTATTTTATTGTGTGTGTGTGTGTGTGTGTGTGTGTGTGGGTGTGTGTGGGTGTGTGTGATCATCATCAAAGCAGGGTTTCTAAGACAGAAATGTCCTTCAGTATAAATGTCCTTTACTGAATTTTGAGTCACTGACAATGGTAACATAAGCATTGGCCTGGTAATCACAAAGTCAACAATTCAGTCCACCAGCTGCTCCCAGGGAGAAAGATGAGGCTCTCTGTTCCTTTAAAGATTCATAGTCTTGAAAATCCTGTATAGGGTTGCAATGTGTTGAAATGGCATGGTGGCAATGGGTAGGGTTACATGCTAGGAGATGCTGTGTGCACATTGTGAGGACAATGAATTATATGTCTCTTCCCTGGTCCCTGAATGATGCAAATGTTTAATGCACCTGACTGCTCACAAAGAGGTTGAAGGTTTGGTTTCAATTTGAGAAAGACAGAGCTTGGTTATTTACTTAACAAAATAAAAATTCAGCCATTGAAAAATCCTCTGGAACATAATTCTGCTTGGTCACACATGGGGTCACTCTGAGTCAGAATTGAGTCAATAACAAATTTGTATCTTTTTGTCCTTGCCATAATTGAAATGGGAGAGTTCTATAGAATGAAACACATGGGAGATGACTAGCATAGAGAGAAATGGGTAGAATGCTGATGCTACACGTTATATTGTCTAATGAGTTCACAGACTTGCTACCCCAAACCTAGACTAAAAACACTAGATGGAAAATGTTGCCATAATTCTTCATGAACCAGTTGACTAGACTTTGTCATCAGATAGGTAGGGATTCGAGAAAGTAAAATCTGGGCAAAAGAGGACTAAAAGCAAGAACGAAGGATATTGTCTGTCATTACCTAGGACATCCAAAATAAGAACCTAATGATTGAATTTAAGAATATTAAGGACAAAATAAATCAAAGTAATCAACTACGTACAGGATGAAGATGTGGCCCAGGTGAAATTTGTGTTGACACATTGGAGTAATTGGCTTATTTGTAAAGTGATTAAACACTAGTGGACACTTCTGGTGGCTTTCTTTCAGACCCAGGTAAAGCTGGTGAGAGATTCAGAATACCCATTTACAGCACAAGACGGGCTCTGCCAATACTTTTCTAGTGTACATTCTGGAATTTCAATCAAAGGCTATTCTGCATACGACTTCAGGTAAATGCCTTTTCTACCTTTTTCTCTGTTCTTTCACTTATGATCTGTTAACTGTTCAGAATTAATAATGTGGTGAAAGACATTACTAGTTCTTCCTCTGAATTTGTATTAAAACTTGTTTTTTTCCTCATTGGACAGAATAATTGACAATAACAATGGAGAGTTATAGGTGTGTGTTTTGGTTATAATCGCCTTACTATTTTATGTCTAATTATAATTGAACTATCTACTGTAAATTAGCATACTTAAATCCAATTTCGGGAGAGCTGATGTAAATTGCAGGAATGCAGGACGGCTGGTGGCGCAGTGTTTATGCAGTGGGCTATTGACTGTAGGGTCGGCAGGTGGAAAGCATCAGGGCAGGGCTTGCTGGTCCCACAGAGTTACTCTTGGAAACTCAACAGGGGCAGTTCTACCCTGTCCTACAAGGTCATTGTGGGTCAGCATCGACTCCATGGCAGCAAGTTTGGTTTTTTTGGCTTGATGTTGAAAAGTTGACTTTTCAAAGTCGTCAGTGGCTCTGTGTGTTAGTCTGGGTAGACTAGAGAAACAAATCCATGGACACACATGTGTATAAGAAAGAGATTTATATACAAGAGGAATTGAACTTTGAGAAAACATCCCAATCCAGTCCATGGTCATAAGTCTGATATTAGCCCATATGTCAGATACCAATCTGTAAAGTCCTCTTCAGACTCACGAAACCCATGCAGTGACGCCGAATGTAGAAGATCACAGGCAAGGGGGTAGAAAGTCTTTGGGTCCAGTGGCGTTGTAAGCATCTCAGCGCCGGCAGGGGTCTCTCTGTGGCTTCTCTGCCTTCAGAGGTCTGGATGCATCCATGTGGCTTGTCTTCTGCAGTGTCTCCCCGGAAGTGACGGAGAGAGAGAAGTGTCTTCCACCTCCAAGGAGGAAGTACGAGATTTCCCAGAATTCTCAGAAGGCCCCATTGGCTGTCTCCAGATTGACAGCCTAGACTCCACCCCTACACTCTGAATCCTTAAATTGACACCAGATTAAGTGACTATCACACTCTGGACGAGAAAAGTCCTGGTGAACCGCTCCCATAAAGCCTAGGGAACCCAGTTGGGCGATTCTCCTTTGTCATCTACGGTTGGTATGCGTCAGAATAGACTCCAGGACACACAACAACGAAGTCAGTTTGCGTTATACTCTGTATTTAACGCCTTTCTATTGCCAC